CTTCCAACTTGTCCAATTCTATTGCAACACTCAGAGCACCAGTAGCTTAGTTTTGAAGACATCAGGTGTGCACCAATAATGCAGTCGGCAGTGAAACTGGTGAAGCGTTTAAAGCACCTGGTCCAGCCATTAAGAGAGAGAGAAAGTCCTATATGAGGTTGAGAGACTATCAGTTTTTTTCAATGTTGTTACAGTGAGGAGCCGGGAGGACATTTCTCAAAGGTTTCTAAGATAGACACGGCTGGAGGCCACCTCCTCACCAGCACTTAGTGATAGAGCTGCAGCTGTGGGAGTGCAGTTCAAGGTTAAATCAGAGCTGTCTAATTGGCAAAATGGCTCACACCGTCCTGTCCTTGAGATAAGAAGTTCTAATAGAGGAGTTTATGTTCAACAAGACTGTATGTAGTGCTGCATACTCAATGTCTGGATTTACTCTGCCTTGTCTAGAATGTTTATTTAGTTGTTTTCATTAAAAGCACCAGCACATTATGTTCTGTTGCTCTGCCCCTGCTTTACCCCTCACCTCTGACGTTCAGCTTTACAAATCCACAGTCTAGTTGGCATCAAAGAATACTGATTGTGGTTTGCATTTGCATACTGTAGCAATAGAGTCTGATCGATTAATTGTGGAGCCCTAGTTTATGTGAGTATACATGTTTGTTAAGCATCACAACACTGCTCTGCCATTTTTTTATTAAGCTAACAATGCTATATTGTGTGAGAGATGTGCAAATAAACAAACAGCAACTACTACTGATGATACTAGTATTACTATTATTAGTAGAGTTGTAGATTTGTTTAGAGTAATCTCATTTATTCAGGTAGTACAAGATCAGATAAAAATGAAACTATCCGAACATTTTGTCTGCCAACTGCAGTTGACTTTTTTGCCACCGCTTTGTTAATGTCACATATTTTGAAAGTGGCATGTCATTTTGCAACAGAGACTTTACTTTGTTTTGGTAATAGCTGAAACCCATTTGCCCTATTGCCCTGTAAAGTGAGGAACAGTAATTCTCTAACAGAGAAGTAACTCTCCACTAACATTCTTTACTTCTGCATGTTGCAACATAAAAGGTGTACTTGACTGACATGACGTAGGTGGACATGAATGCTTTTCAGGTGAAGGCATGTGTACATTTGGATCAGGGTTACTTTCTGATGAATGCTGCTCTGTGTTCACTGATAAAGACATCAGCCGTTTACGCAGCATGCTACCTTGCCTGGCCATTCATTAGAAACTCTTAACCAATGATTAACAGTACCTTCCACTCAGTGTTTTCAATTACTTGAAGTGCAAAATGATCCATAATGATACAATAATTTGTTTTTAGAAGTCAAGTTAACTTATTGAGTTCTGCAAGTATAATTATTCTACCTATCTGTTATTCTGAACAGTATTTAGTGTATATTTATGTGTAGTGCGTGCCTGTCTGAGATGTTAAATGAGTGTGTGCTGTTTGATTTGCTGCTGTGATCCACATCACTGAATGATAATTAAAGTTTTATGCATCTTTCTATGTGATTCAGCATGGAATCATTTTTATTTTTGGAAACAATATCAGGTACATTTCTGCATGACTCAGACATCAGCTAAGTTAATTAGTGAATCTAAAACAACCTGCTGAGCAGAATTTATTCCTCCTTGGTACTGTGCCTGGCTTCTACATAGCTTTTGGTAACAAACCATGAGAACACCATTTTGGTGTCTTACTCTGAACACCCACTATTTTATATAAAGTAATTGGTGAAAATTATATAAATGTCACAAAAGAATTTACGTGGGTGGGGGGGCGGCTCTAATGCCTACCTTCTCCAGCAGCCGTAACGTGAGGTAATAAAACACACAACAAAAATCTTAAGAAGTTTGTTTCATAGACAAGGACTGTGTGTCACATCAGGGCACTTCGCATGCCATTCCACACTCCATCATGCTCCATGTGTCAATCTATTTTGCTAATTTACACATGATTTGTTTTGTGTACTGTAAGACAAGTGTTTCATCTTTTTCTTTCTCAAAGTAAATGTGAAAAGTAAACTTTACTTTATGATTGAGATTGTAGTAGATTGCAGCAGGTCTTCCTTAAGGATTTTAATGCATCCCTATACAATTCCTCTAAGGTCTGCTGCAGAGCACCACAGCAGGATGCTGGGAAAGTGTGTTTCTGCTCATGTGTTTCATTACATTTCTGGTCTCTGCAGACATAGAAGCTTCATACCTTTTGTGTTTTTTTTTTTTTTCTCTGACTTTCTCTTTGCTATTCAGCCATCTACCTGTGACTGGGCAACAGTGTGTGTGCGCACAGTGTCTTCATCCAAGCTGAGGAACAGTAGCTCCCTCAGAGTTAACATAGGTCTTAGGTCATAGGTCAGTTTATAACATCAAATCCTGCTGTATGGCACTGTGTTGCAAAGTAAAACTTTAATATATTCAGTTGGTCTGCGCTAAGTAATGCAAACACAAAGTACATCTGTAATGCTAATGCACCAAAAAGGTTTCCTCACCCTCTGACAAACCCTACCCTGTTCCTGGTGAAATGTGATGCCTGAATGATTTGATTTGGCCGGCTCTCAGGAAGCCACTTCCTCACAGTAACTTAACTGAAGCCCAGGTTAGATGCAGTTCAGTGCAGCAAATACACACCTTATTTTTTAATCTATAGTTTGTTTATTTCAAATGAATATGATTTTGCACTGTTGTGTCAAGTTCTCAGCTGTTGTTGTCTTTGTCTCTAGTTTCATTCAAAAAGACTTTTAGATACTTAACCTGCAGTGTTATGATGCTGTGTGTCTCAAGCACTGGCTGCTGGAGTAATCTGTTTAATGTACGCAGGCCCTCGTCTTTGTTAGACATCCACAAACAAAGATGTTGTAAGGCTCCTAGCGGGCTGATTAAACACTAAATGGTTTACACTGAGGGGTGATGTCATGGCAGGAGGCTCGCATTTGCTGGCGGTTCCTTAAGGACTCAAACCTCAGATCTGTTGGAAAGCTTTGACCTCCTTTCTCTCCACAAAACGAATCGGTTTTAAACTACAGTCAGTCATTTGGTCTTTACTGACACCCCACACCCACCCTGCACCTGCGTCTGTCAACTTCAGACTGAGTTTGACCCAACTAGCATTACATATAACCAGCACCTTTTGTAATTGCTCTGTGGGCTCTTGCAGGGTGTTATACTGGGAGCTCTGCCTGCCATGGGTGTGTGAATATGACTCGAGGGAGTTGGAGCCTTGTGACTCTCTCTCCCCTTTTAGCCCTTTTCAGACATGGAATATGTAACATTTCTGGCTACTTCTATCTGTTAAGTGATGGCATTTTGTCAGTCAGACAATTTACATTAATGGTCCCTATGGCTTCATTCAGACATAACAGCATATTGATAGAATGAGCTGCATCGGCGTGTTATTTGGCACTGGGTGGGTGAAAGTTATGTCGGTGAGGAAGAAGTGTTTTCTGTTCTCTCTCAGGCGACATCACTGATAGATTTTCAAATATTTATTTATATTTATTTTTTAGGAACGCTCGGCTTCAATTCACCTTTTCACATTTCATCATTTAATTTTCTATCATAATATCCGACAGTGCACAAGGGTTAAGACGTTAAGTTATATTTGCTCACATGCTGTCTGTAAAGTGTTTTGTATATTTATTCATCAACACAGATGTCAAAAAGAAACATTGGGCATATAGAGAGACTGATTACCGCTATTATTATTTTTAATCCCTTCCTCTGGTCACACTACGAGGGAAGACTAGTTTTTATAGCCTGATTTGATATGCCTCTCTCTCTCTTTTGCTCTTTCTCCATCTGTCTCTCTTCAAAGGGGCATGGGAAACGCATGTTTACATTGCCAAAGCAAATGGAAAATATGTGTATTTACAGATTAGTAAAAAATAACAAAAAAATAAGATAAATATCACTTTCAATTAAATTTCAATTCAGTTCAAATGGACTTTATTGGCAGGGGAAACAGACATTTTACATTGCCAAGTAAAATATATGTATAAAATATATATGTATATACAGATTAGTAAGA